GTCCACTAAATCTCCACTTGACAAGTGTCCTTTTAAAACACTCTACAAAAGATCTTATTTAAGAGCAGTTTTTAGTTCTGTTAAATATTTACCAATTATATTTAATCAAAAATATTATAAGAACACACTCTTAGATTAAGCATTGTACATGTTCTAATGATCTCGTGGTCCCTCTCGCAGGGTATATATAACCATCCGGTATATAATTTCATGCTATGTAGAAACGTAAATCGGAAATCATAATATAGTGTAATCAATACAAGAATAGAACGAGATGAATTGTGAGAATCCAAAACTTAAGATATGCATTACGTGTTAACATTCGTAGTAATATACTTATATATACAATACACATATATAAGCGTTGGGGTTTATTTTTTTTTAAAAAACAGTTTTAATACCTCGAGTTTATTATATTCTCATCGTTATATCATACTATGTTATTACGAACTTTTTGGTATGTTATAAATCGTTATATACGATATCATATTTCTGGTTTTTGTATATTAGGGAAACGAGGACAAAAGTTAGAAAAGGAAGTTTATAGGATCACCTTTGTTTATTTTATTTTGTTTTCTGACTTTCAAATCAGACTAGACAACGAGGTATGGGTCTTTTAACATCAGAGACTCAACTTGAAAATTCCATCAAACCACCAATTAAAAAACAAGAGAAAACCGTCAACTATCTTGTTTAATATCTAGACAAAATAGAAATTGTATCATGCTGATTTTGAATTTTTTTATTAAAGATCTCAACCATCTCTTTCATTACACTAACAATCTTTAACAATTCTAGAAACCATTACTTACATTGATAACGATCGGGTTTAGCTCGAGTAATCCGATAAATAGCAAACTTTTATGAAATTAAAACTTTCGGACTAAAGCATAAAATACGAAATGATCCACGTACAATTAATTTGGTTGTCTGATATAAAATCAAAAATCATGTGACTTTATGCACTGAAACCCTAGATTCTCAATCATCCATATAAACCGTAAATCTTATCTTTTCATAAAAATCATGTTGAATTTGAACATGGCCTGTAAAGTAGTCTAGTACACACGGCAAACAAACATTTATTTAAGTTGAAAAGTATATGATTTAGTTGCACCGATCTTTACGTAAACAAAATAGTTATAGTGTTCCTATATCCGTTTACAAATTACCATCTTGCATTTGTTGTGTATGTGTTTTTTCTTTTCTTTTGGCAACATTTGTTGTGTATGTTCTCAGTTACAAATTCCATTACAATCATTTGGACTCTACCATGCCCCTCTCCGATTAATTTTGTTTTTGTTTTTTTTTTAATTAAACTATTTAAAATATAAAAAATGGAAAAGCAGATGGCGAAAAAATGCTGCAGGCTTTTAGTAATTGTCTCCCATTTATTTCACAATTTGATTTGAAAATACGAGGATAAGTTTTTATGTTTTGAATGACGCAGTTATAAGTGCATTCATCAACAGAACAAGTACGATTGATGTTTTCAGTGTAAAAAATAAACTGTGAATTAATAATAGTACAAGTTGCTTTTTCTTAGTTATTTACAAATTACAAGTACTCATATATATTTAGTTATTTACGTAGATTTTTTTTGTGTGCATATTTGTTAATAATAAAAACGAGAATTAACACGTAACTTAACTGTATTTAAAAGTCGCACCACGTAATTTAACGCATGTCAGTGGCATGGGTATACTTTTGTCAATATAATGAAATAATGAATTATCAAACAATCAACTAATGTATTCTTATTTATCACTCCACTAATTCATTACTGTTGTTTTTTCAAACAAGCAAGAGAATTGGAATTATAATTATTAAATATGGAAATACTTCTGTCAAACACCCGATACGTATGCATATCTTCGTTTCTACAAATTAACGGAATTATTCAAAACATCAAATTAAACTTTGGAATATATATATAACTCACTTTTGTTTCTTTCTAAACTATATAAATATTAATTGTATTGAGTTTTATCCGTAGTATGAAGAATATACATAGATGCATCTTAACAAATTTCTATTTTAAATAATGGACTATGAGAAAACAGATAAAGTTTGTATCATTTTTTACC